CAGGCCTGTGAGCTCTGTGGTGAGCAGCCTTGAATCTGTTTTAGCCCTTGCACAGAATGCTAAGGAGGCAGTTGTATAGTCCACTGCATGAGAGAAAATGGTTTTGATATGAAAAATTCTGAAACAGGTATATGGCATGGTCAGCATAAAAGAAGACAAAATAGATTGATGAAAAATAAGTAACATCAACTCCCAGAACAATTATGAAGAATATAAAAAAAGAAGCAAAATGATGCTAAAACTAATGGAGCTATAATAAAAATAAAAATCTAAAAACATTGAAGACTAGAATATTATAAAGTATACATAAATTGGCAGGATAAATGAAAATAACACACAAAGGAATAAAAACATTCAGAAAATTCTAAAAAATTTAATTGCTGATATTAGTGATAACATTAATGATAAAAATAGGAATCAATTAAGAAGAAATAAAGTAAAGCAACTTTTTACAGGATTCTTCAGCTGGTATCACTTACCCTTTTTCCAGAAAAGCTTTGGTGATGCTCTTAGAGCTACCACTTCCTCAATTGTGGAAAAAATAACTTCTCCTAAATTACTAAAATGATGAAATTCTAATCTCAAAGAAAAGCTAACCATTTGGGGGGAATCCCTGAGTTTAATACACATATTAGATCACCTGAAAACAAAGTTTCTGAACCATTTATCACCTTCTAAATACAATTCACTTCAGTTTAATTTTAGCCAATGGTAGAAGACTTATTTGATTTATAAGATTTATACAAATCTCGTGTAAGTCTGCAAAATTGAATGTAAGATACCTATTGAGCATATTACCGAGTGTTCCTCATGCTACGTTCTAAGCAAACTTCTTTTCAGTTTAGTTCTTGGAATAAGCTTATTTTTTCACATACGACTGATAGAATTGTTTTTGTTTAGTTTTTTTCCTCAAATAAAATAATCTTTGTGACCCAGTGTGCTTCTATGTTCTCCTAGCTACTGGATACACTAGAGGTTAATTCCAGCCTCGATAATGTCATGTCCTTATACAATATTTCTAGTAAGCTTTACTCTTTCCCTCCATAGCTTTCTTTCTTAAATTGTTGTCCATGTACCATGTACACTGAATTCATTTGGGAAGCTAGTTAAAAATGCAGATCCTAGGGTCTTACCCTGGACTTCCCTTTAGAAATCTGAATCTTTAACAAGTAGCTCAAGTAATTCGGATGCCGAAGTTCTGAACTGCTTTAACGAGCCTCATTTTATGCTATAATTAATATGTAAGCCATGGCCTGCTTTTAAAGAAGAGTGAGATAGAAATCTTATTAAGATATAATGAAGCTTGGAGCATGAGGCCTCAGCAAGAGTGTGAAGCTGTATGTAGAAATGACTGTTCTTTCCAGTGGGCACTCGGGATGGCAAACACTCTCTCCCATTTCAAGCCCAAGCCATAAGATATATTTTTTTCTAGTGTGTAAATCAGTGATATTCTTAAAAATGGGGAGAAAAATGTAATTTCTCAAGCAATTCAGAACCTTCTGGAATGCATTTTCAATGTCTGTTGTCTTGCTCCTACTCAGTTTCTTATTCCCTTTTGGATAACCAGAACTTCCTACCTCATCCCCCTTTGTATCCCCAGTGAAAACCTCTAAAATATTTAAGAAAATATATTCAACATGATGTTTTGGTTATTTAATGTCATTCTCACTACATGTCAGGCAGGAGGCCAAAGTATTTAAAATCTAGTTACTTATGTTCTATGAAATCTAGGGAAGTAATGTTTATCAAGCTTGTAGCTGTGAAATAGAGGGTACTAACACTTAGTAAATGGATATAAATTTATTTAAAAATGCAATACTCAATCTCTGATTCATGGGTCTATCTGATGGTGTGTTACCTTTCCATCACTTTGACGAAATACCTGAGAAAAGCAACGTATAAAAAGGAAGGGTTTATTTTTGGCTCATGGTTTCAAAAGCTTCAGTCCATGGACACTTCTTTTGGGCCTGTGGTGATACAGTACATCATGATGAGAGTGCAAGACAGAGGCTTGTTCGCCTCACAGTGGAAAGGAAAAGAAGAGAGGAAGAGGAAGAGTGGTATGAGTCAATATTTTTAGAGTAAAGCGTTGGTTATGCTGTGGAGTTACCACTTCCTCAATTGTGGAATGAAGAACTTGCCCTAAATTACTAAAATACTGAAATTCTAATCTCAAAGACAAACTAACCATATTACTTTCAAGGATACAACCCCATGACCTAGCTTTCCACTACCCTCCACTTTCTGAAGATTCCATGGGCTGGGAACCAAACATTTCAATGAAATCTATTATAGATGTGTAAAATTACTAGAATTATTGTCATTCTAGAGAAAAATAATAAGTGTGATATACTATTGTTACTTCTAATAATGCCATCAAAACCTCCAGCTTTTATGGAAAACCTATTTTATGCCAGTTATTGTTTTAGAACTAGGGCCTTCTGAGAAACTGAGGCAGCATGAAAGACTCCTCTTCAAACCCTGATTCTTACGACTAAGTCAGAAATATTTCAGACATATCCCTCAAAATAATAGGCATGAGTTTATTGAAGGGGTAGGAAAAAGGGAAAGGGGACATTCTCAAGGGAGAGAGTGGATCTTCTCAGAGAGGAGAGGGACAATATGCCTTTCCTACACTCCAGTTTTATTGGGGATCTCAGAGAAGTTTCCAGAGAGTCCCACCTAGGTCCACCTTTTGACTGTTGACTGATAGCAGAGTGACATCAGACTTTCAAGTCTAGGTCACATTGACCCATGCTAACAGATTCTAATTAGATACCTAGTCATAGATTCCTACAGATTTTATGGTTAGGAAGAAATATCCTTATCTCCAAGAGTACCAGGATCTGGTCACAAAAGTCTCCTCCTTCAAGTAACTTGGGATCCTTTTATCAACATTCTTTTGGGCCTGCATTTCTCCTGCAGTTAACAGGTAGTTTGCTGAGGAATGTGACACATCTTATCCATTTAGGCCAGGCAGGGCTTCAGGTAAATTGCTTCTTAGAAAAGAAAGCCTGTGGGGGTCAGCCCAGTAGGCCCAGTGAGGTGAAGAATTATTCTCTTCACCTCATGTTCTGACCATTCACATCTGTCTATCCCCTAACATAATGATATAACTAAATTCATATAAACATGTGTATATATGTGCACATATGTATTAATTTAAAACATCATTTAATGCTAAGTATCCTATTTTGCTAGATATAATTCCCACTAACATATGTGGAACAAGAGATTGGACTGATTAAGAAACATGTTCAACATCATACAGCTAGTGGATGGCAGGCTCATGCCTGTGTTACCACAAAGTGAGAGAGGTCGGGGGGAGAGGCAGATGCCAAGTTATGATGTCACTTTCACACTGTGATAAAGTGACTCTAAGTTGCTGCAAGACACTGACAGGTGTTAATAATATTCTGTCTTTGGTGATAGAATAGAGAAAAGATTGGTGACTTAGAGGGAGAGTTCCTCTGGAGACAGAGATTTTAATACACTTTAAAATATGAAATTTAAACAGTTCTTTTTTTATCATAATAAGTGGTCAAGAGAGATTTGTTGGTGAGAATTCATGACCAATTAAATTTATGAGCATGGTGTAAGTGAATTGTAGTAAATATTATTTTAAATATCAATTGTGATCTTGAATCACATATTTTGTCTTTTGAAATAATCGTTCTTGGCTTATCTGTGCTAAGCCATCAATAATGACTAAAATGGAGAGGAGACTGATATCAGTTGTTATATTCAAAATAATAATTTGATTTCACTTAGCATGCTGTTTTTTTAGAATGCTAAAATTTTAGGAGCAATGAAGTTTGTTTGTCTTATCTTCATGAGCTAATAGAATTGGGTTTTAGGTGGAGAGGAAAAGGAACTAGAATATTGACCCATGGCACTGAAGTGGAGCATATGTTCCCCTACTCTGCCTCTTTGGTCTTTGAGGTATTTGAGGAAAAGAACCAAAGGGGAAGAAGAAAGGACCAGCAAGAAGAGAAGGAAGTACAAACAGAAAGATACCCCAATGTGATAGGGACTTAGAGAAACTGCTTTTGCAAAAAGCAACAACTCTTCATTTAGGCCTGCAGATGGGTAATGAAAAGCAGGATAGAGCTTGGCATCTCTGCCTTCATTTTGGATCAGGTCCTTGCTCGGCTATGCACATAGTCATGTTAATCATTTGAAAAGCGTTCATCTAAAATCTAGTAGTACATGTTTTATTCACCCTAAATCTACCTATCATATCCCATTCTGCCCCAAGACTGAGGCGAGATTTGCAGCATCGTGTTTCAGGCTCCAGTCATTGCCCTACTCAGCTGAGTCTGCCCATGGCAAGACTGCCCGTTAAGCAGGAGCAATCATCTCCTGGGAACTGAATTGCCCCCTTCCAGAATCATAGGTCTAATGCATAAACATCCTGACTAGCAAATGGAGATTTCCCCCTCAAATGGTAGGGACTTCTCTGAACCAGAATAGAACCAGAACCAGAATAGAAAATGATCAACCAGACCACAATTTCACCAGGACAGATTGTGCATTCCTCTTCAGCCCTAGTGCTTCCTCTGTTTAACCCTATAGCTCTCCTCAGCAACCACAGACAGGGCTGAGGTACTATATCTTGCTTTGCTTTCCCAATACAGTCATGTTGATTAAGTTTCCTTTCCCGATTCTTACCGTCACCTTTCTGCTTGGTTTTTGGGACAGGTGGCTAGTTCTGCTTTGTTGGGACCCCCCCTGGCCTAGGGTGCTGGTAACACAGAATGCTAGCACATTTTTAGACAGGGTAAGTGCATCAAAGCAGCCAGTGTCTGTGGCTCCTGGCTCCATGCATCCTGGAACATGCCAGGCACACTTCCTTGGAGGGTCAAATATCCTGCTTTGCGTTAGCTGTGTTTTATTGCTCAGTGGCTATAAGTAAACAAAGGATTCACAGTCAGAGTGCCCTCTGCATTCTAAATGGCCAAGATGCTGGGCTAACCTAACTAGAGTCTCTTTTTACACAGATCATGGAGCAAGAGAGCTGAAACCGAACCACATCAGAGTTGGTCAGCGATGAGATATCTGTCAAGGATTCATGGCAGAGTGGCTTGCTGGAAGAAAAACACAAAATCTCTTCTAGGGATACTGCAGAACAAATGAGGTAATTCCCAGAGAAGGCCTGGAGCTTTCCTGAAAAACGGTACTGGGACTATCAGAGGTACATAAACTGCTACTTGGCCATAAATTTGTGTTTGTGGAGAGTAAATTGAAATTTCTGTTAGCCAACAAGGACAGCTGTACCAGGACAAAAAAGAAAGTAGAAGTGAGATTCCTCCCCGCCCCTCCTCAGTTTGTTCCTCCAAACAGGCAAACAAATAGATAAAGAGTGGCAGATATGACCTCAGGGAATGGAACCATGCCAAAGGCTATTGATGCAAGAAAGAGATTAACCCAGCTTTTTATTTCTTTTAAGAGGGACATTCATGTTGTGTATTTAGTGAATTACCTGGGATTGTGTTTACTTTGAATTTTATTATATTTATTTGGTAATTGGATCCATAGCTCACCTGCTTCTACTGGGTAAAGGATATCCCAGTGTGTGGTTAGTATTTGGTTGTGAGCTGGCTTCTGGGCTAGCCAAATTTTTGAACTGACCAAAAAGTACTTGTTTATTTGGTGTATCAGCCGCTGCTAACTAGAAAAGCTTTCTGAAAGTATCTTAGTCAAGAAGGATGTTTATTGAACATAACAAGCAGTGCAGAGGTTGTTTGGGTCCAAGAGCTGAGTGATCCATCAAGGGCCCAGGGGTAAATCTGTCGCTGAGATCTGCCACACTCGGTGTGTCAGCTTTGCCCTCAGAATGGCATCCGTCTGGTTGAACCTCAATTGGCTGATGTAGTGCCATTTATTATACCCTGATGCAAAAAGGTCCAGAGGACAAAGGATGCTGTCTCCTTCTCTCTCACTTTCTAAGGAGCAAGGAAATCTTTCACAGAAATCCACTTGACAGACCGCCCCCCCCCCCCCATATACACACCCTGCCTTGGGTCACATGACTATTCCTTAAGCTCTGATCACTGGAAGGAAGTATACGGAGTGGAATGGATGTGGGGGACACAAACATATTAGCTATTTCAGTTTGCAAACATTCAGTAGAAAACTTCAACAGCCAATGCTAGCAATGTTGATTTGTCTATTACAATGTTGGCTTAGTTCTTGTCATTAATTAATTGTTGTCTCCTCAAGTTTATAGTTGTCTGTTGAGGACAAAGTCATAAAAAATATCAACCTCCAAAATCTACTTCTCACTTCCAGAAAATTGTTCTGAATACCGAAATGAGCTTGTGTTTTCTTATTCTACTAATTTTTTAGAGGTGTGACAGAAATAAACAGGAAGACAGAAATAAACTTTCTTATCAAATTAATAAATATGTATGTTTTGATAATCATGTATTCAGCTGGTATGGAGGGAACAATATAAAAGAAAGTCAAGATTTCATCTTTATTTGGCCATTACATAGTGATATTTTTACTAAAGAGTTGCTTTATTGATGTGTTTATTCAGACTAATAATAATGATGAATTTCTGTCAACACACTGAGAGCAAGACATGTGTGATACAGAACAGCCAGCCTAGTCTTTTAGTTTACCTTAAAATAACTCCAAAGTGCTTAACATACATGTGAAAATACATCTATCAGGTGTGGGTTTTATGTTTGCAATTAATTCATTCTGGTTTGCTTCGTCTCCTACATTAAAATGAAGGTAAGGGCTATCCACTATGCTTTTTAGCTTAGACACTCCATTCCTCACACAGGGCTCTATACATAACCTCCCAGTAAGATAACTGGCTTATCCTAATTCCATCTCAGCAAACACTACCACAGAATCTTCTTATTTTCTAGGTTTAGAAACTCGGGCTTTTTTTTGTTTCCTATACCATTCAGGTTTAAATCCTGCTACCTCAGTTTATTAATTTTGTAACTTGGACAAGTTATTTAACCTATCTGCTCCTGCTTCTTTATTTGTAAAATAGGAATAATAACTGTATTAATCTCATGAGATGGGTACTGGTGATTAAATGAGCTAATATGCATAAATTACATGGGAGTATGGGAGACATAGTAATCATTTAACAGAATTTTGTTGATTATTATTATTTAATCTTTAAAGTCATCTGGTTAGGAAAGGTACACCAGCCAGATATAATTTTAGAACTCTTGAAATACATAAAGTAGTATATAATATGCCTTGTAGTAGGTTCAATGGTTGTCATTGCAGTGTGCTGAAGGCTGTATGTATGTTTTCAGTCAAATATGATGCTATTGGTCACATACACTCTCTGAGAATATATGATAAATGTCAGACAACAATTGGTCCTAAATGAAAATTCTATTAGAAAAAAATAGTGTTCTTTAATAAAGGATAGTTAATTGGTCCATCTTATCTTTTAGATTATTCACTTCCAATGATAGCTTGTTTTGTTGATACCAAGAAAAACAGCATCTTTCCTTTGACAGTAAACTACATTTTTTTCTAATAACTCACTCTGCCATCATAAGGACATGAAAACACATCTTGAATTTTTTTTCTGATAGCTCACATTGTGTGACATAGAGCACCTTTCCAACCTTGAAGATGACAAATTCACAGCTTTCCAACATAATTTCGTTTCCATGGGAACAGACCAGAACTAATCAATTTTGTCTGCAATATAACCATAAAAAAGTCTTTCGGAGGGAAAGGGAAAGATTTTTAACAGGATATAGACCAATAAAATTTGCAAATTTTTCTGCTATTCTTGAAAATTAGTCAAGATAACAATCCATGGACCATATAACTAATGGCAAGAAAAGGAGTTTGGGTTTGATAGTGTCATAGCATATCCCAAATATTTGCTATGCGACTTTTCTCAGATTCTGATTTATTAGCAAATATTAGCACTTGTACTCATTGTATTGGTCAGTTTTATATACTTTCATAAGTTTATGATAGTATTATAGCACACTGATATGTAAGCTGGGGAAACCAAATAGATCTGTATAAATCTATTTTTCTGTAATTATTTACATATAGCTTAGATCTTCAAAATCAAATCATACATAGCAATATTTAAGACAAATATATAAACTATAATAGGAAGTCAATGAAGCACAGAAGGTATAGAAAAATGTTTTGCCTCAAAGCAACAATTTATGTTTATCAGTAGATGTTTCAGTGAAAATTACTTAGCTTCTTTGGGCCTGTTCTTCATTTATTTTAAAAGCAAAGAGTGACTAATTGTCAAATCCAATATATGCCTTTTAATTAGCATCCTGGAAATTCCTCTTTTGGGGTCCAGGTAATCATACTGACTTCATTGTCTAATATTCTCTGCTTCCTCTCTTTAAAGCTTGACAGTCCCACAAGGTCTGCCTATTCACCTTTCCACTTTTCTCCTAGGCAATGTCAAAAGGATTCCCAGATTCAGCTTCAACCCATGACCCCTTAATCAACATTTCTCCAGCTCAGACAGCTTCCCTGCATCTCAGACACATATTTTTAATTACCTACCAGATATCCCACAGGCATCTTAAACTAAACAGGTCCCAGACAGAATTTATTATGCTTACAAACCTTCTCCACTTCTCTATTGGACTAATGTCAACTTGTGCCTTAAGCTGAAAATCCAGAAATGAGACTAACTCCATAACTCTTCTTCATTCTTTGTATCAAGTCAGTGCAAAATCTCACTGATTTTCTATCTTCCATGATCTTGCCTTGAATATACTCTTTGGTCTCAGTTTTTTTCTTCCCTAACTTTCTGATGGCCTACCATCTTCCAGGTGCTATGTTCAGCCAATAGGTGCAATTTCTCATTGGAATTTTTCTGTTGACTCTGCAGAGGATGTGCTTTCATTGCTATGAGCAAGAGAAGCTAAAGAGTATAAAGGATTTTAAAGCAGTTAGAATGTAGCAGAGCCAGGGCTTGAGTCCAGGTCCAATGCCAAGTCCATGCCCATTAGCAGCAGAGCTATAGTAAGACCCTCTTTGCTCCTTTGTACCAACTGCTTTTTTCTAGGGCAGCTTTCCTCAAAGTGTGGATTTTCTGAAACTGGAGGCCTCTGGAGCCTTTTGGAGGAAAGGGCTGTGACATCTAAAATATTTTCACAATAATACTAAGCTGCCACTTGCCTGTTTTCACAGTTTGGGCTTTTGTACTGGTAGTGCAATAGTTATGGGGGTTAAATGGCTACTGAAGTGGCTTCAAACTGGAGAAATTGTTTTTGTTTACTTCATTGCTATACACTCTAAGTAATAAAACAAATGCCAGTTCACATGTGAAATCTCTGATGAAACAGTTAATATTAATTTTGTTAAACTTCAACCCTAAAGAGTACACATTTTTAGTATTATTCTGTGTGATGAAAGTGGAAGAGTACATAAAGTATTTCTGGAGCATGCTGAAGCACCCTGGTTCTCTCAGAAACATTTGTGTGATTATTGGAGTCAGGAGCTGAATAAGTCACTTTATTTATTTTTTTCATGGAACACCATTTTCACTTGAAAGAATAACTGACAAACGATGGTTATTCAGACTTGGTTATTTGGCACATATATTCTCAAAAATGAACAAAGGAAAATCCTGTCACTTTGGGAAAAGCAAATGACAGCATTTGTTGTCAGTGTTAAAACTGGAGCTTTTAAGTGGAAATTGGAATTTTGCAAAACTTTCACCTGCCACTGGGAGCCTTACAGCCTTCCAAGACATTATGGCTTTTCTCATGACATCACTGGCGATATTAACAAATGTGATTCTTGGGTATTATATGATGAAATTTGCCAAAACTTGGAAGATCTGCATACCAATGAACTGATAATTTCCAAATGACCCATGCATGATGGTACAGAATCATGCATAATTAATTAAAAGACTCATTCAAAAGGCGAGCTTGATCAAAAGTTTATGGACGTAGTTTCAGATTCCACATTGAAACTAAATTTAATGAATTACCATTTCTGGAATCTTGATGTATTATCAAAGAAGAATATTACCTGAAAGGAAATATATTTTTCTCCCTGTTCATTAATAATTTTAAGGGACATGGAAACTAAAGAAAACTATTGCTTAAGGACTACACCCTTCCTGCCTGCCCTTCATACTGCTGCCATATTTTCAGT